CGCCCAAGGACGGTGGATTGCAACTTCTTCGAAGTAACAGTGAAAACTGTTGCCAAAATCTTGCAGGTCCTGATTGTCATCATCATTTGCTGCATCATCACCTTGCTCAATGTCATCTGCTTCCTGTGTGCCGTCATCGCCGAACTCTTCAGCGTCTTGGAAATCGTGGTCTGATGCCGCCTGCTCTTGGTCAGCTGATTCCTCACAAATCTGATCCATCTCTTCAACCTGGTCAGTCTGGTATACCCGTCTCGGGTAATTATTGTCCTTTGGACGAGGACCGATACAAAGTCGAAGAGGACGCAGTGGTTGATGAGCCATGTGAAAAAGTCCAAGGTGACGATGAACTGCTGTGGCCACCAAATCCTTTGCCTTTGCCTTTGTGTGGTGTCTGTCCAGCTCCAGCCAAAGGAGGGCTTGGCTTGAAGTCTGGAAACTGAAAGTTCAACGATTCGCGAACCTTCTCGAAGCCGAGGGAATTGCCAGCTCCTATCAACACCAAGCGCTGCAAGTCAGGTGTCAACCTCGATCTCTCCAGGAAGCGGTTTCCACGAGATTCAGCATCGTACATTGCTGCCGCGCTGATGCCGATTGCTGCAAGATCCTTCTCAATCCTGACATAGCAATTGGCAAACTGGCGAACTGACTCATTGTGAAATCTTGCCACATGTTCGTAGTCAGACAACAACTTCCTTTTCTGAAACAAAAGCTTCTGCTGTAGTGGTTCACGCAATGCCTCAACAAGGTACTTGATGCCTCCAGCTGAATTCACCTTAGTGAGGTCAAGGTGTTGTGTCTCCAGCTCGGCTTCACCTGACAGCGACGTGAACGGCATAAGTGCCGCATCCGACGCAGGCATGAACGCTGCAATCTGCAAGGACCAAACTTCGACCCTGCGCTCCCAGCGTGCAAAAGCTCTCAAGTCAGAACTGTTCTTCCACTGCGGCGGTGCAGGAGGTGTACCGCCACGCCAACGAACTCCTCTCTGGGGGCCACGTTGTGAATTCCATGAACTCTGACTGTTGTCTGCTCGAGTCTGATTGGCAACATTTGGCAACCAATTGCGACAGAAGTTCAACAATGCGGGTCTGGTTTGCATCTGAAAAACTTGTAACATGCTGCGCCGACTGTGGTTGCTCAACATACTCAACATTACCTGGCCTCTCATCGGCCTCCGGTTTATTGCCACCAGGTCCACGCGTCCGGCGTCTTCGACGAGCTTGAACCAACAATGCATCAGGATCGACGACTGGGTCTGTAGTGTGTCCTTCACTGTCCTGCGTTTTCTTCACCGGCATATTCAGCGTCTGAAGGCGGAGGCTGTGGTGCAACTGGTGACTGACGTAGCTCAGAACCAAGCCGAGGAACATACATCCAACATCATTCGGCAGTCTCATGGCGCCGAGGCTGAGTCACATCATAAAAATCTGTACTCTTGCACTGCACACATGTCCAAGCCTGAAGGGAGGTGTCCCAAGACCAATCAACTGAACCGCACTGGTAGCATTGCCACTTCAACGAATCCCTGGATCGGAAAATCTGTGAACCCATCCGATCGAGGCCGCTCCGTCGATTGCAAGACACGTTCAACAGGGGGTTCGGAGTAACAACTGCTCTGCTCATCTTCCCCAAACAGATCGAACTCCCGTTGGCCAAAGTCGGTGTCGTCCCAACAATACTCAACAGAAGGATCAATGTCCGGCAGATGGGTAAACATAGCAACCGAGGCTCCGGTGCCAACTCACTATCGTGCGTGCTGCGACACAAAGTGCAAAAAGAATCAACAAGCCATGGCGAAAAACGATCGATCGAACAAAGCGCAAAGTGAAAAAGGGGCTCCCTTTTACGCGAACTCTTGGCCCAGTGCACTACGGTCGACCATGCATCAAGCTCATCCGCACGAAACTTCACATATATTATATATTAGATATCTTATGATATCTTATCTAAAATCAGCAGTACAGGAATCTAGTGATGACTCAATCAGGTGAAAGAAGCACCAAAGTTACATCCACCACCACCAACAAAACACTGCCCATAGGCACCATCTGTCACCCCTTCGTGACAATTTGCAGTTAAATCTCCTGATTGTGGTCTGTGCCACGTGCAAGGCCCTACACCGCCAAACGCCAGCTGTTCGAGGAGCTTGTTGAGTTGAGCGCCTACTTTGACGTAACACCCCAATTATTTAAGGTCAAGTACATCGAGTTCGGGGAGTCAAAGGAGCCACTAGACTTGCGAATCTATGCAAATCTTGATTTGATGTGAGGTGTCAAAACGTCTTTTTGACGTGCTGGTGTGGCTGCAGGTATGAACTTCAATTGAATGTGCATCTTTTGCACCCATGGCAGGTTTCTCATAGTTTGTCCCAATACGTAGACTTTCAGCAAAAGAGATGTTCCCCGCCTTGGAGCTAGAGGAAAGCCATAGCCAGCGGCCTTAATGTCGCAAAAAGGAACGGCCCGCTTAGCTATGCTTAGCTGCTAGCATTGACTGCAACCATAACAAGAGCCTTTTCTGACGTCTTTCGGACTTCTACCTCTGCAGGAGCCTCCTGCATAATGCCCCTAATGCTTCACGCGAGTCATCAGAAGGCTCCCGACCGCGCTGAAGGGTGTTGCTGGAGTTGCTGAGGCGCTTCGTGACATGGCCTTCCCATTTTCTCTAGCGACGCGAGGCTCCCACAGCACAGTAATTAAGTATATATATATAGATCAAAGAAAACAGCACCGCCCCAAAACCTCCAAAAACGGCGGCTGTGCTACAGTTTCAGTCTTCTGCAAAAAAAGGCGGGGAAGCGTATAGCCTTGGTACTAGTAGAGAAAGTTCCTTTACACATGCCAGTACTTTGCCAACATGCTGCGGTTTTAGGAGGTCGTGGCTTCTATGCTGCTTGGACAATGAAGCAATCTGCCAAGAAATGCGCCCCGCCTGACGCCCGGCTGCAGCCCAAGCAGCCGCCGCCTGGACTGGATGATCACGTCATGAAAACCCTCCAACTTGATCCACTTGTGTTGGTATATGATATGTGCTAGGGCTAGGGGTTCAAGGAAGCTCCCCCTGCAACCCTGTCTGGAAGCTTCCAATCGCTTCGTACTTGCTTTTTAGCTCTCGTCTTACCAGCCTATCCCCCACATCCCCCCGCACCCAGAAAAAGAAGGCTCCCCGCAGACTTGAAAGAACGCAATCACTGAGTCTGAGACCATGCTCGTGCTGGTCTTCTCTGGTGCACCTGTCGTGCAAAGCAGCTTCGAAGATTTTGTATCTTATGCTGCCTTGCGTCCAATGCTGAACGTTTTTTTAACGCATGCCGCATGTTCGTTAATGTCTGGTTGCTTCGTATTGCTCCCATGAATCATGCATTAGCAAATCTTTGCGGTCCACCTCGATTCTGGCCTGGCTCACGAGGCAAAAGGGTCAATGACCCTGGTGTGCTCATGGGTGAGGTCGAGCGTCTCCTGGCGAGTGGCCCAGAATGAAGGGAAGGCTTGCAGAATCAGTGAGGGCCAAACGCTCGCTCTCTTCCGGTGGTTGAATGCATGCTCAAAACACATTAGCTATCAACTTGTTTCTTTGAACAGTCATAAAGTCAATAGAAAAGCTCTCTGCAAACATATGTCTGTCACAATACTAAGTGATCACTTCCGTAGATCATCTTCCGTGAAAGGTGATCCGAGTGGGTCACAGCTTAGACGATGGATTCAACATTGAGCCTAGACGCTCAGGCTTGCCAAGTTCAAGGAGCAACTGCATCATCGTGGTGCAATTTGGCTAAGCTTCTGACACAATCACTGATGGAGAGTGGACATACCTGCAGAAACCCCCAATGGTGGAGACCAAACACAGGCTAAATGCCTGTGACACCAAATCTCAAACAGTTCACCAAGAGCCCAAGAGCTAACAAATGGCATCATGTTGTTTGGAGATACATGAAAATCAATCAGTGAAGGTTAGAAACCAAACGGGTGCCTACAGCTACCAGCATGGACTAACCTCTCCCGCACGTCATGCCGGGAAGGGGAACAACCAGATTGGCGCCTCGAACGGGGTGTGCCAGTCCTCACAGGCCAATGTCGCGCACGTCTTTGCACCATTTCCGCGAAAGAAGACAACAAATAGTAGCTTCTTGTTACTATATAGTAGCGTTCTTGCTCCTAGTAGTAAGGCCAGGAGCCCCTAGTAGCGTCCTTGCTCCTAGTAGCGATGCCCTTTGCTCCTAGTAGCTATTTCCACTAAAGAAAACAACAAATCCAATAAGGCAGGAATAGCCAGCCTTAGGGCCTTGGTGCTAAATTCAGGCGTACTGCTTGAAGAGAGTGCTACACTGACACACACCGGTCTCATGAAACACATCTGTCAACTGCCAGCCATTGTCACATCTCCAAAGGGATCAAAAGCAGTCTACAGTAGCACCGCCAGTGATCCACATTCATTTTCAGATTCTCAATTCTCAAGCCACTCTAAAACGTGTCGAGGCATTCTGAGGTCTTGTCTCAAAGAGGGCACCTGCAAAGCAATATCGGAGGTGCGTTTTAGTCGACCATGGAGCAAGGTGCAGCCAAAGCAGTTCCCTCATACAATGTCAGACTAAACTTGAAACTTGATTTTTGGTTGTTTTTAATTTAGAATGGCGTGATTGAAACGTATGAACTCCTTGTTTGTGCCGTTGCTAAAGAACTGATTGAAGCAGCTTTTGCCCGCTGGCAAGGTGGCATTCTCTGTCTTACAAAGGTCCGATCTCAGGCAAAGGTTCATAGATATGAGGGGGGCACATCCATTTTCGCGTCAACAACAAGCAGATTCTGGGAAGAACCATGTAGATCGACCAACCTGACACCTTCTTCACCTTCCAGAGGCCCTCTGGTCAACAGGAACGAAATCAGCCGCTTTGGACATCTCACAATGCGCAAGAAGGCACCCGTGTAAAGCGGATGAGGTTGCATTGAATCAAACTAACTTGTGACAATGTTGCCACCCCCACCACATCAGCTCCGTGTCGTTCATGAAACAGCCGCGCCGCTGGATTTTGTCATATTTGTCATGTTCTTCCCAAACTCCTTCTCCCACATAGACTGCACAAAGTCGAACATCGGTCGCACATTCGCACTATCAACGTTCTTGTCTGGGTGAAACTCCACCTGCATCCTCCTCAGCAAACTACGGCGCTCGCTGGAACTCCTGCACCGTGCCAGTTCGAGAGTCGCGCGGACATGCGAGAGCTGCACGGTGCAAGCCTGCCCGACTGGACCTCGAGGCTCCGGATCCTCCGGTATGTCTGCCAAAGGCACCACAGGCGGGACCGCTTCTCCAAAGTCCTCAACAGCGATGAAAGGGCCCAGGGGGGTGGTGGTGGTGACGTAAAACATCTCGGGAAGCAATGAACAGCATGACAACTCGTATACACAACAAATCGACAAGACTCTTAGTGCCCAGTTAAGTCAAACAGAAGAAGCCTCCAGTCAGACCCAGTGGACATTTCAATGAAGAATGCAACATGGCTGGAAAGTCCTTCCAAAGCGGACACCACGAGTTCAATTGTTGAAGATTTTCAGCTGAAAGTTTGCCTTTCTTCTTGACGATTCGAAGATTGTCCACAAAGCGCCCCAGCACGCGCTCGCTATGGTCATCACTCTTGAGCCACGGAAGCACTCCTCGTTTCTGAAGAAAGTTCTGCAAGTTCCGCAGGTTGGCCTCAAAGGGCTCCAGGCTGGGGAAGCCAGTGAGGCCTTGCCGTTCTGCTTTGCTCTTCCTCGCTTTGGGGCATAGCCACTTTCGGACCTGGGCAGCTGCTTTCATCTGCTTCGGGGAAGCCTTTTTATTTTCCGCCGCTTGGGGAAGGGCTTTTTGGCCAAGCTCATGGATCTCTCCAGAAGACCTTTTGAGAGAAGTATTCCACCAAACACTTTTGTGATCCCAGCTGACTGTGTCCGCCCGTGCTCTTCGGTACTCATCATTTTGTGGCCAGTATCTGTCAGCTACATCTAGAAGCTCACAATAGTCTCCTCCTCTTAAGTGGTCATCAGCCGCACACATCCAGTGGCGTGCTGGATGCAACCACAAGTCAGCCGGTTGTGTTGTAGCAATGGGACCAAAAGGATCCACTGAAACCCACAAACCCAGGCTTTTGTCAAAGCACTCTACCCAAACGGACATGAAAGACCTCATCACATCCTCTTCGAGGTCACAATCTCCACTCTTCTCACTTTCGCTTGCCAAATCCAAAGCCGCCTGTTGCTCCATACCTCCTTTGGTGAAATTGTGGCAAAGCTTCCGGGCTTTTGGCCCAAGACGACACCAACGACGTGTCAAGTCGACGCCGGGCTTCGCGAGCTCGAAGCCACGAATCAGTCGGGCAGGAATCTGCACTGCTCGGCACAGTGCCGTATAGCAGATCGCCACGTGCAGTGGGTGTCCCTTCCCCAAGCGTGCGGCTCTGTAAGAACTCGCCAAGGCTGGTAGTTTGGGCACACAAAGATCTATGTCAAAGTCGACACTGTACATGACATGTGTAATTGAGACAGGTTCCTGTAGCTTGCCACCGTAGCGAGAAAGCATAATGCCCTGCAACAAAGGGTCACTGCAAAGACCATTCAAGTAACGAATATGTGCCAGCCATCCTAGCAGTTCGGCCTTCTGAATCCCGCGATGCATGGCTAGGTCGGGCATAGGAGTGGAAGACATACACTTTAGATCTCCTTTAGCCTGCTGAGGGCCTGCTGTGATGTCGGACAAAACATGGATTTCAAGGATCGAACAAGAAGATGGAACTGTTAAAGCTTGCTTGTCGTGTCCAACTGTGCCAATGGGTGAGCCATGATGCAAAAACCAGGGATATGTCCCCGGTCGAGAGCGCTAAAAAAATAACAAATCACGTCAACGGACTCGCCCGACTCGCCCACTGGACAATTAATTACAAGGAGCTGGCAGCTCCTTGTACGCTGGTTGAAGCAAAAGATACCACTATGGCATAAGTGGAATAAGCAGAAGTGTTAATAGGGCACAAAGGATACCGATCAATCACGCAAAACACCAAGATCCCAACCCAACAGCTCCTGCCGCTTCATCCGCCTGGTGAGGGTGATCTGCTTAAAGGCACAGCAACGGCTCCTGGCCGGTTTGTCCGCCAGTCACCGAAACCGCCAGTTTCCAACACCCATTCCGTAGACAGGTCATGTACAACAGCTATGTGCTTGATGTACACCTGCATTTGCACCTGTCACTGATAGCGTGAAACGCCACGTCATTGTTCCGATCTTCCGAACTGACGGGGTTTTAATTTACTTTGCACCATCAGACTCAAGCCTGCTCTCACCATATGCCATATATATATATGGTGCTCCAAGTGACTGGGACTGGCACAACCCTGGCCAGAACAGCCAGCAAAAGTCCTGGACACGCGATTGGCATCAATGGGCCTGCGACTGGCTGTCATGTGGCGGGGGGGCCAAGTATGGCTTTATGAGCGCAGGAGATCGGCTCACGTCTTCAAGCAGGGATGGAGCACACAATTGCACACATGTCTTTGTGGCTGTACGTCACTTCTTTCAGTGTGTGTGTGTGTGTGCGTGTGCACACGCGGGGAGGACAACACGTGTCAGTGCGTAGGTACTTTTGTGATGCACCAAGTTGCACACTGGGATGCAGTCAGTCTTAAGAAACAGCAAGTCCTGCCCTTCTTGGAAACAAGGCCCGAGTTACAAGTTGCGACCTTGCCAACGCATGGATTAACACAAATCTGAAAGGTCCATCACGAGGACTGGAGGCACAGGCATGCACAGGCACAGACCTGGACCGCCCGCCTGGGTAGAAGGATCTGGGCACCGTGGGCACCACAATTGGTACGTTCACGCTGGCTGGACGCACTTCCACCAGCCTGAGGCACAGGGTATGAAAACCCCCGAACGGATCCCAAGCCGACAAGAACTTGTTTCTAATAGCTTCTTGTTACTACTAGTAAGACACTTGTTACTAGTTAGTAGCTTCTTTATACAAGCCGACATTGTAGATCTCCAAGAACTTGTATGATTTCGACTCTGCCGTCTGAGAAGTGACTCATTTTGTCGCGTCTAAATAACATCAGTGAACAAGAAAGACACACATCAAGCACATGCACCTAGGCTGACGTCCCATGAAAATAAACATGAGAAACGTGTGGTGAGCTTCCTTGTGTCAGTGTTTGGGGTGTCACTTGGCCTCTCGACTTTCGTGCTTCTTTAGCAGAATGCACATGATTGTAAGCAATAGGTATCCAGGTATCCTGTTTTGGGTTGTCCCATACCTCTTTTCAATTGACACTCTAAATGACAGTCCTGGATCTCTTGCACACAATGGAATGGTTTAGAACATGACTCCTGCTCTTGATTGCAGAACCTTACTTCGCTAGGGCCCATTGCACGGGAAGGCCTTGGTGTGGAAGGGCTGCGGGCGTGAGTGACCTGGGCACAGACTGTTGACATGTCAAAACTCATTGATGATTGATTGCCAAAGTAGCAAGAATTGACACCTGAGTTGGGAATGATTGACTCCTCTGGTATTCACTCCTCCGCACAGTAACAAACAACTGACAAGATTATATACTGCAAACTATTTGGATGGACGAACTATATCGCTTTTTTCCATCTGCTTCCCCCAACACACAGTGAGTTCTTTATCAGAGGTTTCACTGACCACCCCTGGGTGATCCTGGGTGCTTTGGCTTGATTATGCTTGATTGCTTGGTAGTTGGTAAAGGCTCCCCATGGCCCAGGGAGAAGCTACTTCACAGATCTAAGCACAAGGCTGCCGCAGGTGCTGCTGAAGCAGTTGGGGTTGATGCTGCTGAACTTTGACTTCTCTGCAAGCCTGCACCAAAAAGGTCAGCCTCATGTGTGAACACATGGACCCAGGCAAACAGCAATTTTCACGGAGGTCTACCAACTGACGGAACATACACGGTTACAACATCCACCGTTACACGGAATTGGCCCAGAAAATAGCAAAATAAAAAAAAAAAAACTTCTGCCCAAACCCACCGTGTGCCTGGCGATGCCTGAGGCCACGGAGGACTTTCACTGCTGCCTCGTGCCTTGCAAAAAAAGATAGGTATGGCTTCCAACCTATGTCACCTCTTGCCACAAAATGGTCACTCGTGTCATGAGTTGCCGAGTCCTTGGTGTTGAGGCCTTCCAGTTGAGGCCCTCCCATAGATTGAAACATCTGCAAAGTCTTACAGTAGTTTTGCCGTTAGCCCATTGCATCCTCTGGTCAGAACAACAAGTGCTTTGAGAATGGTTGCTTTCCGTAGCAGGAAGCCTGCTACATCCAGTCCAAGAAGATCTATATCCATATATACAGTTATATAGAAGCATAATTATTGAAATAATGCCCCGATTGCGCTAGAATCCCAAAAATCACTGGCAACTTGTTGGATGCTCGAATGCTTCGTAATTACTGTATCACCAAGAACTGCATCATCAGTAATTAACAGCATTCTGCAACTCACCAATCCTCCATATGTTTGTTCCGCAAAGCCCGGGGCTCAGTTGCTTTTTCCTCACGCAGAGGAGACGCGCTTCCGTAACTCTGCGTGGCGCGTGGCATCTGCTGGCAACGGAGCTGCGGGTGCTTGCGGGGCATCTGCCAAGACCTGTCCCGTGGCCCGTTGTGTTCATTATTCTAGACCCAAATGATTCAATCACAAGAAGTGCATGGGTACCCCACCTGTTGCAAATTACAACTACCAACATGTGCATACAGCACACACATGCACAACATCATGGCCAACAATCACCTTTGTCCTTCCACAACCTGCGAAATCCTTTGGGCCTACAGCTTCTCAGTAGAAACAGGTGCGCCCACAACAACGTGCTGGATCGATGTCTGTGGATGTCTGTCGTCTTTTGGGCCATGTTGCAGGATCGATGTCTTTGGGCCCCAAACTTTTGAACTTGGAGACATTCACCTGAGAGATCACAACAAAGAGTCTGGCATGGCCAATTCATTCCCTTTCAGACCACAATTTCAGGATGGAGTTTTCGGGGTAAGCTGCACAGAGTTGAGCTATTTCCCTGCCATATGCCACATCGGCAACTTGGAGTGCTTGCAGACTTGTTTCTTTCCCTCCACACTGGAGAGGAGCAACGAGAAAATTTAACCAACCTCACAACAGCTCACACTCTGGTGGTCTTCCCATGCCGCTCGCCGGTCCAATCTGCCAAGCAACCGGAGCGCCCAAATGAAGTCTCGCGATTGCACCTGAAGCAACTCTTTTAAACTCAGGGTGGCGTTGCGGCTCAAACGCGTTCAATTATTGAATATCATTGAATTGTCGTCACCCAACCCATCCTTGGATATCATGAAAGCTTCGGTGCGGCCGGCCTGCCAGCAGCTTGGAAATCTCGATAACTTTGATGCGGCTTTCAAGCCCTGCCGCTGCCAACCTCTGCAAAGCAGCTGTTTGATCCACACTGTTGGTGACCGCCAGCCATTGCAAGTTGCAGTCCTGAAAGGCATATCATTTGCTCCAAGATGGTGCCCACTGACAATTATAACTATTATACAGTATACACCACAACTCTGCCTGACAGTTGACACATCTACTTCAGTGCCTCTGGCTATCTCTAGCTAGACTCTAGCTGCACAATTCCCAGCATGGGTGGCCAGATGTATGACAATTAATTATGCAAGCTTGCGACACTTGCGACAAATGCAAGTGAGTCAAGCAACTGTCCCCGAGCGATAAAGCAAGGACCAAGGATCTTGCACCAATCCCTTGACCTTTTCACCCGCATCTCCAGAAAAATAGCCATGGGGAGCAACTCCGTAGAGATCCGCTTTTGGCAGGAGAAGATGCAAGGCCGAGCAAACTTCTACCAGATTGCCTGGGAGAGCACCATCTCGGCAGGATCTTCACAACAATGAGACCCCCCGACATACCAGAGCTACCAAGTGCACGCAATTCCTTCTACATGACCAGCAAACAGGCTAAGGCACCACAAGTGTCAAACATGTCATCGATGACAATGACCGTGGACACAGCTTTTAACTCGGAGTCCGAGATGATTTTGACATCTCCTGCACGCTGTTGCAAAAAAAGGCAACACCCAAGACTAGTTAGCCGTCGGCGAACCAACTCAACTCAACTCGATTGCCAACTAGGGTATTTTAGACAATTATTGATGCTGCATGCTGCTGCTCAATAGTCTTGTCACATATTATCAGGTAATGTATGGTAATATAGTTGTCAGCCAGTAATCAGATTATTCAGTAATACAGCCTCAAGACTCAAAACCCAAAGTTCACATCATATATAAATCAAAAGGCCTCGTCCGCCACCCTGTTGTCGGAAGCGGTCCGCCATGATAAAGCCCACACGAAGGATATCTGCCATTCCTTGGGAGACGCCGATCAATGACATGCAGGACATATCAGGCGCATTAGACATGCCGTCAAACTCTTAAACTTAAAACCATGACACGCAGTGTGGCACCAAGAAGCATACGTTTAAGCCAGTCTGAGCATTTTGTCCGTGCCCCTCTTGCACTCCTCGGGCACGTCTCTATAATAGCAAGGCTTTCAGGCAAGACTCTTCGAGTGAACTTCATCCCACCACCATTGGTGGCACAAACGACAGTGTGATCTTCATCGAAGTTTGTCACGTTGCGCTTGATGAAATCAGCTAAATAAACATCTGAGCTCAACTCGTCTAAGACCATGCCAGTTGGGCCTCAATCTGTGGACTACCTGACCATATGAATGTCCATGGGCAACTCCGTAAGCGAATCAAGCGATTGCAATTTATACAAAGCAATGGGTCAAGAGATTCTTGTGTTTTGATGACGATAGTGTGATATAGTGTGTAAGTCTAACATGCTCGTGATCACCCCGCCACTGCATGGGTTCTTCTCATGCAGCCATCCAACAGTGAGATCTTAAACAAAACATAACAAAACAGTGACATGGAAAAAGAAATCGTTGTTTCCCAAACTCCCTAGGCTCTCGATGACCGTGACCAAGCGACTGAAGGCAGCTTCAGCTTGGTTGTGCAAGTCCACAGTCAGGACGCGGGTGGCACCTGCTGTGCGGATGCAGCGCAGTAACAGCTTCGGTGCAATCGCCTCTCCCGCCACCAGTTTCCGGTCTTGCCGAGCATACTCGAGGCCTAGGCCAATGTTGCCGCTAAGTTGGAGGAAACAAGGGCATGTCAATGTCATGTGGCAAGGAGGCGAGAGGTCCAGGATGTCAAGCGTTTACAGTATGGATCTTGGTCCTTTAAAGAAGCCATGTGGGTGTTCGATAACTGCCCAACTGAACTGCGGATAGGAATGATTCAAGCAACAAAGGAGCCGATGGGAAGCTGAGCTACTGTAACCTGTTTCGTACACCTCTATACTGAACCTAGATGCAAGGCATCACCACAGTGAGGCGATGCGGGGACTCTCCTCTCAAGGCATCCACCGTGAGCAGCAACCGCATGAGCGAGAAATTCAGCTCCGACATCGCATCATTTCCTGGGTATACAAGTAACGGCTCAACTCCCTCACAATCCATGGCCCCGGCTGGTTAAGCAAGGAATTTGCTGTGGAGTAGTAAGGATAAGGAGATCAAAAACCATTACTACAACTGCCAATGTACTGGCCGGTGCAGCCAAGCTTCTAGCAATCACGACGAACACATCATGATTTGCCACGGTGTGCAGTATCTTGGGGCCGATTTCGCCGTTGTCGAACATCTGAAAGGCACACTCCCCGAATCGCCACTTCAGGTGCGACAAGATTTCCCGCATGAGCTCCTCACTGCCTGGTAGACCAAACAGCACCGGTGGGTGGCCCAACGGAATCCGGATTGACTGGAAGGCATCCTCGGGGCCGTCGTCCTCATCCTGAGAACGATCTGCACATTTGTATGAATCCAGTGCTTTTTGAACAGGCATGCATACGCATCGATCTAGTGGCTGGGTCTGAGGTGTGCACTTTCATCTGCACACTACACCCTGAGAGGCACAAACGTGTTGCTGTGGAAACACGTTCGTGTTGCCACCGGCAACAACACAGGACACCGAAAACAAATGCAAAGCAGGAGATGCAAAGCCGTTCCAAACTGCCATTATAATGTTTGCATCCCTAATTATGCATGCATCTGATTGATGACATGTTTACATTGTTTACATATTATAATAAGAACCGATTATTATATATGCAGTATATTTATATATACAGTAAATTATGCAGTATATATATATATACACTGTCTTCTCTGCAGCTACGACAACAACCCTTTGAAAAGCCGTTTATAGATACGCGCACCATGTGAAGCATCCTTGAATCCATGAATCAGCATCCTTGACCCTTCAACGACCCATCCGAGTCCACGGTCAGCTTTCTTTTTCCAAAGGTTTTACCATAAGTCATTGTCTATGACGCACTTCGGTGAAATTGTGCCAGGACTCGTAGTCCACATCTTCATCCGACGAAGCCATCCATCTGCCCTCAGCTCGTTGGCTCGATGAGCCTTGAGCCGTAGCTGCGGCGCTCCATAAACACAGCTACGGCATCTCCTCCAAGATCATGCAAAAAAGACGGATCAAGAACATCCATCTGCATCTGCATGACCATCATGAATCTGGAAGGCCAGGCAGTAAGGCTCTGCCGCTTTGTAGAACATCGTTGCAAAAATCCGTCTCCATACTACATGCCCCCTGGAGGTGCTAAAGAGTCTAGCCATGTCTAGCCCTGACAAAGAGTGAAGCCTTCATACGCTAATATAACCAGCTCAAAATTGGAGTCCTGGGCCCCTGAGTCTTCAATAAACGATCAGCACAGCAGAACGACAACTGACTCACACCCTCGTCAACCAAACTGCCTCCATGATGTTGTCCAAAAATCGTTCAAAATTGATATGTCATGAACCACCAGTTTTTGGTATCTAATTTCATCCCTTCACTCCCATGCAAACAGGAGGACCGCATTCCGGCCTCAGACTTCGTCGGCTTCGGCGTCGCCATGGCTTGTGCTGCGGCCGCCTCTGCCTCGGCCTCCGCGGCTTGCCACACAGCTGTGGCCGCCGCGGAGATGGCGGCTGCGACCTCGTGCATCGACCGTCTCAAGTCCAGTGGTCTCCAAAACCATCGATCTGGCCAAAGGGCTGGAGAGGGTTAGTTACTAAGTGGAATGGAGTTCTTTGGCAGATGGTTCTCGCAAAATGTGCGTCGAGAGGAGGTGAGATTGGGCAGGATTGTAGCTGTGTAGTGTTGCACAGAGTGTACCACATCGTGCTCTCTCCTGCTAATGAGCCTCAGTCTTCAACTTAAGCTCTTCCCCGTCTGGCGATTGATGCAAAGACACACTCCAATGACATGTTGCGTCCCATGCTAGGGAGCACACGGCAGCACTGTTCGACTCTGGTGAGGAAGCCGCGGCAGAGCCTTTCACAGAATGTGATGGGAAAATATGCCGTGGTAATCTCTTGCAGTGTTGAACCTGCAGATCCTATGATCACCTCAGGCCAGCTTCCAGTGTGTCACAGCAGTTCTGTCCAGTCCCAGCCGCCACCTGCAGTGTCTTCATCAACCTTGGTCTCAACATGTCTCAACTCTGTCTTGCGCCCACCGGATGGACGGGGGGAGGCAAGGTTTTGTCGCGCCATGTTGCGTCATCACTGGGCGTTGAATATCACGAGCTTCACAACTTTTCTGGTCTTGAAACTGTTCAATGAAAGTGGGAAGCCCCACAAGAGGCGAAGCGCTCGATGGAAGGTCTGGCCTCACGCCAAGGTCGTGAGGTTGCCCTCCATGCAAATAATTCTGAAAAAAGGCTAACTTAAACACCGAATCCAGGTTAAAGAAAACCGAATCACCTGAGCAGCTGTAGGCTTTCTGATGCGTTGTCGGCTGTGAGTGATCCAGGAGATGGTTTATTGAAACGTGGCATCGGCTTGCAAAAACACCCTAGAGGCCTTGGTGAAGGCTCTAGCCATTGGTTATGGTTATGCTCCCCGCGTGTGAATGTCAATACCCTGGGCTTATCACGGCCATCTGCAAAGCGACCTTAGCAATGTTGGCACAAAGTGCCCTACCCTAATCGGGGACTGTTTGGTTAGCAAACATACAGAATCCCCAAGCGACCACAAAATAGCTTGAAAATCTACCAGGGTGTCCTATAATTAGTTTCACTCCCCAAAATCACTGTATAGAACTGTATACAAGCTCCTTGGTTGTAAATCACTGTATTTACTATGTTATTATGCAAGACTGTATTTAACATCCTTGTTTATAATAAACAACTGATTTGGCCCAAAAGGAGAATACCACGGCCTCCAACTAAATCTCTTGTAGTTTACACATACACTGCTTGACTGTAGGGATCTTCTATGATTTTCTTATGCAACTGACGTGTGTCGCATGTGCAGCCTGCATGGCCCATTTAATGGGGCAGGTGCACGCGAAAATGACTGGGTCGGTTTTCCGACTTTCTTCGAAGGCTTTCATCTTCGGAAACAGCTTTCGTCATGCCCGTCCAGCAGAATCGAAGTGAACAATGGGCTCCAACTTCTTATTTTTACATATTTTGACTATTGCTAGTCGACTTAGTCATTGTGAACATCTGTGGCGTTTCTTGATGAAAGCAAAGTTCTGGTGCAATAACCTGCAAGCTGGCTAAAAGTCATGCAAGCCACACGATCTCAAGGAGCATTCCTTGGTGGCTGTGCTGGCTTCTTCCCGAAGCATAGATGCCAGCCCCCTACCTAATCTGCAATTTATTGATCCTTATTTCAGCAAACTGCTCTGGCTGTAGTAGTGTGGATTTGTCACTGCATACATGTCAAGGCAATACATATCCCATGCCATTCCATAGCTTCTGGAACAAAAGTCTGCATGTCCAAGGCTTGACTATACCAGCCTGTTGACACCAGTTGAGCTCGGCCACCTGAGTGCTGTCTCATGCACCGTCTTCCGGGCCTGCCAAGTCCGACCTGGGTGGCTCTCTTCGGTTGCTCAGTGGGGTGACAGCGGTGGGACAGCCATGGGGCACCCGACCTTGCATCCTCAAGTCGAACTTGACCATGACATGGCCTGGCAAGTCTTTGACTTGAAGTTCTCACGCCACGTAAAGAAAACATAAGAAAACATGCTCTGAGGGTCCTCCAGCACTACTTAAGCCATGTGGTGTGGTTTGTTGGACCTGGAGTGCATACCACATGGTCAACATGCTTGACTGCACTTCTTGCCAACCCTATCACACCTGCCGGCCCAACAGTCTGCAGCTGCAGAATCTCTTCAGCTCTTCGAGTAGTGTTGCAGAAGACTTCCTCAGCATGTTTGCCAAAGCCACCCGATATGATCGATGCGCAGAGTCCTACATATATGTGTTTTTTGGTGGGGGTCAACTGGATGGATCTGGATGGGCTGGGCTTTTGGACACTCCAGGACCGGGAAAAACGTTCAAAGTATCTTGGGTCATCGACCTGTTGAAGTTGATATACAGTAAATTTCTCAAGTAGAGGACAAACCTTGGCGCTGCAGCATGCTGGTCTGCCAGCAAATGATTCAAATGCCTTGATTCATGGCAGGCACAACAGTTTAAAGAACGGGGAGAGGAGAGTAGGTGGCACCTCTGCGCTCAAGATTAGCTCCAATTGAGGGGGGTAGATGGCACAACGATTTGTGAGGGTGGTGACTTGGCTCCATCCGTTTCTACTAGCTTCTTGTTACTACTAGTAAGGCACTTGTTACTAGAAGCGATGCACTTGTTCCTAGTAGCTTATTGTTTCTAATAGCTTCTTGTTACTACTAGTAAGGCACAGTATATAGATTGCACAAGAAAAATGACCTCTCATCGGTAGTGCATCTTGGGAGGTACATTTCTACCTTCAATGTTGATGGCGCAACCAACGTTTGGTGACCATTGACCATCTACTTTCAGACCGGAGTAGTTGATTTTCTTTTCATTTGGCAACAAACTGCTGCAGTGGCCAAGACTCGCCAGCCCCAGAGCCCTGAGGTAAATAACAGTCAGGATCAAGTTCAAGATCATCCTTACATGCGCTTACATGGCTTACATGTGGTGATGGGGCAAAATGCACAGCTGATATGCAACTTTGCTTGATGTGCTGTTGAAATCCAACGCCTCCCAAACCCAACCAATGTACAAATCTCTGCAGGTAACAACGGTCAATGATGCCAATGTTTATCCTTGTCGATATTATCTACCGTTGGCACCTGACGGCCACCCTGTCAGTTCTAGGATGCTCCAGAAAATCCAAAAAAAGAGCAAAATTGCTACACTCTGCAGAACCGTTGGGTGATTCTGCGACCCTTTGGGACAAATTGCTCTCTGATCCCCAAAAAACGATACAAAACGCAGCGCGCTGCGTGTAATGAACTGCCTCCGGGCCCACAACACAAAGCCATGCAATATCCTCTATATAAGTAAAGCTTGCTTGCTTGATTGGAGGACGGATCTCGCTTGATGAGGAGAGTCTTGAGCAGCAATCAATAAACCCATTATTGTCCAACTTTGGCCAAGCAACCTCTGAATCCAAGGACTCCGTCTCTGTCTGCGTTTCCGAGCTTTCCTCTGCACCTGGGAAAATTGGCGGCTATCCATGTGGAACGCCGAACAGTCCAGAAAAACAGTGCGGCGATGGACAGGACATATCGCACGAGTAAGGAGAAAACAAAAAACGGGTCAGGAGGTTTCAAGGATAGGAAGGTCGTTCTTCAAGGGACCAAAAACGAAACAAAGCGATTCAAACAACAGTAAATCCTTGGGCATAGAGTGGCAGGGTATGGGGTAGGGTAGGGTAGCGTAAGGTAGGCTTGTGTAGCTTGCGGTCGTTGTGTTGCACACTGTGGGCTTCAACATGCACCTGAGCCCCGCCTGCAATGTTGATTTTGTGGCGGAGGGGAGGCTGGGGGGATTCCTTCCTTCCTTTCTCTGCTGTTTTTAATTCTTTCGTAAAAAAATCTGTCCGTCTTGTTGTTGGTTCCTTTGTGTTGGTTCTCAGCCCTTTTGGGGGGTTAATGTGCCAGTTTAACACAAAAAGGTGCTCGCCCCGCAGACCTATTCCGCTGTATCTAGGCACTACACTCATATACCGATACCATGCATCTTGTACACTTCGAGATACATATTATCTACTTTCGCTAGTGACAATCCAAGTTGTAGTAAACGTAAACTTGCACGCCTATCCTCTCTTGGCCTTCAGAATCGAAATGCCAAGAATGCAGGATCATGACGTGAGAGTGAAAAATGACATGTGGGCCCCAACGGCTATAGGCATTGTCCAACCTTGCTCAACATTGCCAAGGGACCTGGGCTATAGGCCAACGAGATGCCTGAACCTCCATCGAAGCGGTAGTAAACGTAGGAAGTGCCTTGAACCTTCAAAAACGCATGACGTTGGCAGGTCCCGGTGACGTTGTTTCACGCCCAGCGTTTTTCGCCAAGCATGGCATTCTCACCGCAGAAAGAGTTCTTTTGCCACACGGTTGTTGTTGTTTTTCACCAAGCGTTGTCCTAGAAAGTTATTGGCACATATTTCACTGCAAGTTGAACAGCATGACTTTCTTGCCTTCATCTGCACTTTCTCACCGTCGGCTGAGTTCAAAGATTGAAGCTCATGAGGAGTGTTCCTGGCACGCGGCATCAAAAGCCTCCTGAAATCCCTAGAGACCTCGGCAATTCTGACAGAAAGGTTCGTCATTTTCATAGACCCTCCTACCCTGTTTTCAGCTCCAAGTGCTGCAAGGCTGCATGATGTCCAACAAGTAGTTCTGGCCATTGAGCCTAACGATGTTCCTCGAATCACCCAGCAACCACTGACCGCTCTTGAAACCACAAGACAAGAGAGTGCGTGTAAGACATGCAACTTATGTAAACCTGTCAGGCCCATTGAAATATGGACAACAAACCTACAGTATACCGATGCCTCTTATGCCCGCTGAACTTCAGCCCGCTGGAATTATCAAATAACCGTGCAACAAAAATGTCGGAAGCTATTTCTCTCTCCGTCACCCTGACACGTGTTCCCAATGAAACTGCTAGGAGAGCGATGGCCTCGGTATTTCTTGCGACCCAAGACATGAGAAGAAGCTACTAGGGGCTCCTGTTGGCCTTACTGCTAGGAGTAAGAAGCTACTAGGAGCAAAGGGCATCGCTACTAGTAACAAGTGCATCGCTTCTAGTAACAAGTGCCTTACTAGTAGTAACAAGAAGCTACTAGGAGCAAAGGGCATCGCTACTAGGAGCAAGGACGCTACTAGTAACAAGTGCATCGCTTCTAGTAACAAGTGCCTTACTAGTAGTAACAAGAAGCTACTAGGAGCAAAGGGCACCGCTACTAGGAGCAAGGACGCTACTAGTAACAAGTGCATCGCTTCTAGCAACAAGTGCCTTACTAGTAGTAACAAGAAGCTACTAGGAGCAAAGGGCATCGCTGGAGCAAGGACGCTACTCCTTTGTGGGACGACATTGGACCGGTCCCAGCGGCCAGGCGTGATCTGCGAAGCCGTTGTCTCGACGAAACTGGGAGACCTCAGTGTCATGTCGGCGACGATGGGGCAAAGGGTCAAACGATTGACTATCAGGAACATGGCAAAACTATATCTATCCCACAACTCATCCGTATGGTTGGGACACTTGGTCAGTTACAATAGTTATATAAATCTAGTGACATCTGGTGTATATGAGCTGATCAGCTGATCTATCCCTTTGATAACACTGGTCATATCACCCAGGGTCATCACCTGGTGACCACAAGACAAGACTGCAGCTTTGGGATATTCATGCTCGATGGATTCACGTCGGCTTCCCAGCTTGCACAAACTCAGTAAGGGTCTAATGCGGCGCTTCAAATACTTGACTCTCCAATACCAACACGACTTAAGATTTGAAGCGGTGTGCACCATGCTGCCAGGTTGCATTCTCACAATCATTTGGCACGATAACTCCAGAGATAGCTGCACTTTCGCAAACCTGGCACATTGGAGGGAACAGCTGCAAATAAAAAGTTCAGGGCACCCTTCGGAGCATAAATGGATGCAGCATTGTCAAACCATGTAAGCCTCCAGTGCCAGTCACCATCATATATTCTGTACTTTTGGCGCCTGCAAGATGTCAGTCAGCCATCGCTCAAAGAGTCGGCGATGGCCAAGCTTGGCCACTCCCATATCATTGAAAAATCTCTCATCAAAGCAAAGGTTACCATCGTGGTACAAAGTTGTAGACAAGTAAACATCCAAGAGCTGACGTGGTGAGTCAAAGTGCTGTACCATAATTTCGGCATAGGACCTGAGAAATCCTTGGCTATCAACCTCGAGCAGCCATGCTGAGATGGTGTTCGGCAAACCTAATCCCTGGAGCTTTGCCAGAGACGTGACATTAACGGCAGCGCCGCTGGTCTGAACTGCACCCTCTGGTGATATGGTCTCCTCTGCGTGTTGAGGGTCCTCCGGTCGCATGACCGAGCTGGTAGCTGTCCTTGAGCAGGTCTCGGTCGCATGCTCAGGCCTCTCAAAATGTAGCTCTTCATGCTCATCATCAGATTGGTCGGCAGGAGTGCACTGTGAATTTGATGCATTGGAATGCATTGGAAACCCATCAAACCAGGAACTTAAACCATCCTGATCTTGATCCCGTGAAAATGCCTGAAAGGGTCCAAGAACTTCGAATTTCTCTCGCCACGAAATGCGAGCGTTATAATTTCGCAGCCAACTCGTGTACCACTTCGGTAGCGCTGGATCTGTCAAATCAGCCGGGAATGGCGTGTGTTCCGGTTCATACTCACAAATTCCTCCGTGCAAAGGCATGAAGCACTCCTTGCAGCAGTTCGTGAGGTCCACATCCACTGGCATCAGGCACAGCCATGCGCAGCCACGAGGCTGGCGATGTAGAAGTCAAAGATTGGCCACATAAAGGCTGTAAAAGGTCTGATCTCATGGACACTGGAGACAAGGTTTGTTTGGACAATAAATCTTGAGCACTATCTTGAGGGCATTGGGCATGTTGGAGGGTCCTCAAAGCCATTTCAATGTGTCTTTATATCACCTATAAATCACTCTCCTGAGCCCAAATGAATGCGTTGAATTAGTCGTATATACACGTTCCATATGTATATAGTTGGAGGGTGGTCGTTGTACTGATTGGAAGTCTGAACTAAAACGGGGCGGCAAAACCTTCAATCTGCGCACCACGTACTTGAAGAGCAAAGACCGATGCCGGCACATGCCAGAGCCCAGAAAACCAGCCTTGGTTACCAGCGGCATTCCTCGATCACATTCGATGACCGTGGTTGTGGCTGGTGGCCTTTGAAGAGTCCCAGTCAAACCCGAGCTGCCCCCGTTCATCATACATGCTGGACTTGAACTTCAACATTGACGATTGAAGACTTCCTTTCAAGCAAGCATACTGAACCACCGTCTAGTAAAAGAATCCTCTGTCAGGCAAGCTCGTGTTGTTGCAGCATACCTTGAGACACCCTCCAGCGTCTCCAGCAAAGGCTTCAATCAGCCTTTTTTGGTGCAATATAATATACAATAGCCACCATGGTCCAGGAAGAGCTACAGACAAGCTTTCCAAATTGTACATGCTGAGCCGCAGTTGCACCGGACATCCTCAGTGGCGTGTTCGTGCTTGAGACGACGAATGAGATTCATCCGATGCTCTGATGGGTCGTTCGAACATGCACTTTGGCCTGTCCACTCCGAACCCTGCTCTCCCTCCGCCTCTTCCAACAAATCCCACCCGCGGGCCCCTGCACAGCACTACACAACTGCAAATTCCTGCAGTCACACGCCTCTAGAGTCCAGTCATTAATCCAGTCTAGTTATATAATATTTGCCCAGATTCAGCTCACCGATGAGGAGGGAATCTCCCTGCCGTAGGTTCAGGTCAACAATACGTTTCTGAAAAGCTTCAGGCACCTCAGACATCACCCGAGGTGGTTGCAAGGAGTCCAAGGGTCATTGCAAGCAATAGTGGGCATACTTACAGAACTTATGCATGATATGGCATGGCATAATAGCACAATAGTTAAGTGCCAAGAATATATAGTCGTCCTATACGCCCAATTCAGCCAGAGCAAATGACTGCCCACGCCTGGCCTTGCGCCCCAATCCACCAAAGGCCCTCTGGATCATGTCACTGACCTGACACACCCTTAATCTCACTCAGCCATTGATGCAGTTCATGTCTGATTAATTTTACTGTAAGACCTGTAAGTGCCTTTACTTTTGTTGCGGCATTCATTCACCACTAGAGTCAGGTGCTCTGAGGCAACCTGCAGTGACCTTCCTCCACTACTGGCGTTTGCACTGTGATGGAGTGGCTGTTTTGTCCCGTCTGGGTTGACAGCGTTCACTGCTGCAAGTGCCATCTCATGCTATATCTGATTGCCTGAAAGTATCCAAAGATATCCAAAGTCTTTTTTTAATTTAGTTGACTGCTTCACGGTCGTGCCTCTCCCTGTCAAATTGGCATACAGCTAAGGTCTTTACGTATAGGATGGCGTTGAGCTGGCCCCTCCTCTGACTCAAACCAGCCTGGCAATCTCAGAACTCACCAGAACGGGCCGTAACGGAACTCTGGATTGGATGCCGAACCCAGGGCGTTAACTTCTTTGCTTTGGCGCAAGGCCAGGGCGCCTCCACTTGATCCACAAACTTGTTAAGCAGCTGGTCCGCATGAGCATCAATGACCTAAGCATGGTGGATGCCATGTTCGTGTCAGATCTTCGAGAAAAAGGAAGAAAAAACAAAACGTGCTACAACGCGTTGTCGCGCGCTTGGTGCAAGGGATCCTGACTTTTGCCAGCCGGCCCAACTAGGGAACAAGTGTCCGGTGGGCACTTGTTCAAGATGTGAACCTGCTGAGGTGAGATTGCGAGACTCGCCAGGCCAGACTCGGCTGTCAAATGCCGGCAGGCAACTGCAAATTAAAGCATAGAACGTCTGGCATTCTCAGGTGCATGACAAAACTCCAATTCTTCGATAGCGTTCTTAACGCGAATGCTTTTCAAAGTTCACCAAGCTGAAGAAAAAGTACTGTGCTTCTAAATGAATCTAAATGTCTTGGCGTGGCCATTCCCATCCGCTTCTGGATGCCACTGAGCTGCCAAAAGCTCCTTGGAGTACCGTGCGGCGAAGCCATCCGGAAGAACGTCATGGAAGTCCAGGCGCCTCAGGACGTGACGCCAGGTGCCTCATCTCTGGATCACGGCGCCAGGATCCCATTGGATCCCGATCCCACATGCATATTGAACAAGAAAAGGTCCGTGGGATGAATCTATATGGGGCTTTTTTTGGTGCCATCATCTGTGGTGCTTCTAGCTACTAGTAGTTATATATACCATGTAATATACCCTTGTTACTAGTAGCGATGCCCTTGTTGCTAGTAGCTTCTTGTTCGTAGTTGAAGAACTGACAAGAAGAATGGTGGAAATTAGTGTTCCCCTTCCATGTTCCAGCGTTGTCGTAGTGCCAAGCATGTTCCAATCAACTACCGGTTCCATGCTATCAAGATCTATCAAGGGTGTCTTAAACATGTTCGAGATGAAAAAGGCTTCGTTTGACGTCGGTCTTCGGACCCCCCTAACATCTGACCGCCACAAATTCCCCAACCAAGCTGCCCTTCTTGCTGCCACTTCAGGCTGACCGGAGACATCATGACCTCTGGCAATCATCCTTCTTCCTCTTCACTTGGTGGGATGTCACGAAAACCCACAGGATCGTTGGTTTGCAAAGCCTGCTGCATGTTCTGTTTTAGAATTTGACAAGAGGTCCCAAGTCTGGGGGGTTGCCAAACAGTTGAAGACTTGACGATAATCAAACTGCAGCAGCACCAGGAGCTGATTTCTGAAGAAAGTTCATCCACTGCGGTTGTCCAATCAACAATTCAAGGTCTGAGGTCTGCATGCAAAATTGAGTCCCTGCTGTTGTGGTCAACTTTACGGCAGGCTTTTGCGGGTAACATTTGGCTGACCTCGCATGCAAGAACCTCCCACACCCACAAGCCTTCTGTTCAACTGATGGTCGTTGCTTGAACAGCTTGCCAGCAGCCTTTCACAAAAATGCAAAGACTCGAAAAGAAGCAGCACCAGCAACATCAGCAACAGTCCAGAAGGAGCAAATGAACCGTTAACATGTCTCCGCCAGATTGTCGTCAGCGCCTTCTCTCGAATTTTCTTCATGTGCCCGGGTGTATACCGGCCATTCGAGATCATGCTCTCCTTGCATATGGTGAGGAAATGTGAGGAATGCGAATCGTGTCGTGGACAATGTGCAAATTGAACATTGTACATGAGGCTCACCTTGCATACTGTGCATACTGTATGTCACTGTGTCAATGCCATCATGAACCACGAACGCTTCATCTGATCCACAGCGATGAGGGAAACAACCAAATCGACCAAGCATGTCGAAGCTTGAATTCTTCTTGCACTGCACCACCTGGATTGTGTGAATCTGCTAGCATCCAATGAGCCCTGAAATAAACGAGGCTCCATGGAGCAGCTGCTCAGATGCTCGGATAGGCAAGGTGCAACAGCCGCAGCTTTCTGCTGAAGCCAAAGCAGTTTGCGTCATCAGCCAGTGCAGGCTGCAAACAATAATTAATCACTTTTCTACTTTGCGCAAAATGCCAAACACAATCAATTGGAAGAGGACAATGGGTTCTACTGGATTCAATCCATGCAAAGTGTCCATGTGCCTATGCTCTGCCAACTCTCGACTCAGGACCAAACTGGGACCCTGTCAGGGTCTCTGTGCCTGGCATGACGGGGATTGATTGCGAATGTGAGCTGATGATTTCTCTCTCATGTGCATGCCGCGTGCATGCCCAAGTTGCAGGGCTTGGTCGCTAGGTCAACATGATGCTTGCGCCATTCTATGCATTGCTATATATATATGTTATATGAGTACATTGTCATTTGTACATTTGTCAATTGTGTGACATTTAATATCACAGCGGAGTCGAACACCTTCCAGTTCCAGTCTAGCCTTGCATGAAGAATCTGCAATATTCACGTGCTGCCACAACTCGCATCCTGGATCATTCTCTTTTTGAACACTCATCGCTCTAACTACACTTAGACTCATTACTTTAAGCCACATTGCCAGTGGTCCTTCTCCCTGAAAAGAGCTTCTCCAGCTGTTCAATTTGAACCCCCATCTACAGCACAGTACAGTACATTAAATATTTTTTAATTGATGGTTGGACATACTTGGATGCAACACCCCTTAGTAACAATGCGTTCAACATATTTTGGTCGTATCCATGTAAGAAATGCAAAACGTTTCTCAATCTTAAGGAAGACTTGCGGACGCCGGATTTCAGGAAGTCGCTGATGTGACTTGACAATGCCCCCCGTGATGAGACTAATCTTACGGGCTCCGCCGCTCCGCCCCTGCAACCCGTGGTCGCCCAAAATGGTCGGGCAACCACGTGACTCATGACGCATCAATGCAATTGTTGTTCTTGCCAGGTAAGGTATATCATGAAAATTCATGAAACATGATCAAACGCATTCCATTGCTTTATTGTATTTTCTTGAATCTTCTTGACATCCATGACAATGCGGACAGGGTGGAGCACAGAATCGGATTGACGTGCACCAAATTCATTTCAGCCATGCTCTTCACTCACTCCGGCATCGACATGAGCCCGACCCGCAGTAGCTCTTGAGAAGCCAACCAAATCACAGCGCATGTGACGTGTGAGTGTTTCGCAACTTGCACTGACCTGCTTAGATGGATGCCGCTTGATAGGTTTCCGCAAGGCAGTGCAACCTGACAGGGGGAGGGATAGGATTCGAACACTGATTATGGCGTAGGTCAAATGTTTGGAAACTCAATATCAGCAACTTGGGCCCATACAAGGGAGATCACAGATAACATCCCTCATCAGCGGCTCATCGGCGTGACCTTTTGGTGCAGTCCTGCCATGCAAGCTCATGCAGTCCTCATGCGTGCATTCTGAGACTGGCTTTTTGAAGCTTTCATTCAACATGTTTCCACATCATTTCAAGCTCCTGGGATTTTGAGTTCTTCCTGTGGGCATTCACTTCACAGTAGGAACGTTTCCGCTGCGAAGCTGAAGCTTTGGAAGGTGGCACTGGTCGCCTCGGCTGGGCTCGCTTCGCCGCCTTTGCCTTGGATCCGGATGCACGATGCTTTGCCATCGCCTTGAGAGAAGGCTTTTGCAAGGCTTTGGCTTTGGAAGCGTGCTCCCTGGATTTTGCATCCGTTGCTTTCTTAGACTTCGGGCTCTTGGCTTTTGGCGTTCCCTTGGTCCTTGGTGCGCTCTTTCCTCTAGGCACACTCTTGGCCTTCGCTTCCATCTTGGCTCTTGGTGTGCTTTTTGCTTTCGCTTGGGCTTTAGCCTTCGGCTGACACTTTGCCTTGGCTTTGGCCCTGGGATTTGCAGCACACTGGGCCCTTGATTGGGCCTTTGCTTTTGCTTTGGCCTTTGCTTTGGGTATGCTCTTGGCCTTTGGTGCCACCATGGCCTTTGGCATGGCCGGCAAAGCCCTTGCCCTTGTTGCTTGGTCAGCTTTCGGCGCACTTGCTGGCTTTCGCGTCTCCGATGCACACTTTGCATTGGGAGCATCGGCGGGCTGCATCTCTTCGGGCACCGAAGATGTCGGCTGCACCTTGTTGTCTTCCTCGGCAATCTTCGACTCCGAAGACGTCGGCTTGGTTGACCCACCTTAAGGCTGAGACTGAGGGGCACAGCTACGGCTGCACAAAGGCTATGCCGGCTACAAACACATGCAGCACCAGGAAGACTGGACTCTCTGAACCCTTTTGTTGAAGCATTAATGAGTTGAGCTGCTGGGAGTGGCTTGTCTGCCGCTTGCTTTGTGTTTGGCCTCATCGGATCTTTGGTGCGCATGAGCAAAGACCTGGAGCTTGGCACTGGACGGATGTCAAAGTCTGGGCAGTTCTGGCCAGTTTTCAGTTCTTGCCGCTGCGGAAAGGCCATATGTGTGGCATAACGATAGACTCATGTATGATGGGAATTACAGTAATGCAAAAAAAGCCAGAGAACCCAGAACGTTGTGGAGTTACCCCCATGCAAATTGTAAAGTACCCTATGCTTCCCCGTCATGTCCTATTTCATGAAACGAATCGTGCCCACCCTCCGATGCTTCGGGATGGAAAAGAGTGCTCGCTCGAAGGTGCCGAGAAAAATAATAGAACCTCAATGAAACTGTCCAATGCTACCGTACAGTCTACTTCTATGTTCCTTTCCAATATATTGCTTCAGTCAAGTGCTGGAATACGTTGACCTCCCGATTCGCCTCAAAGAGTGCCATCGTCTCTGCAAGACCTTGCGAGCCAGTTGTCGCTGGGAGCGGTCCCGGCATGACATTTGATAGATACCTCCATCCACCATCCCAAGTGCGGGATAGAATGTCCGTACTTGACCTCCGAAGCCAAGCATGCACTTCTGCCTATCGAGTAGCGTTTGCCCATCACCCCATGTTACTCGGGACATCGCATGTTGCTTGACATCAGGGTCCAGGGTCTTCAGGCTTCGGGCTCCCAACAGCCGTGAGCTCAAGCAACGGAACAAGCAAGAGACTCTTCAATCGCACCAGTTGACAAACTGCCTACAGTAAACCAACATATACATATATGTATATTAAACATGTTTATTAAACTACCAGTTGAACAAAACATCAACCAAATGACTAAAAATACCGGCACCACTCGAGGTCCGCACGACTCGTGGTCAATGAGAGATCAGCCACCGCCGGGAGCTCAAAGCACTCGGGCAGAAACTGGTAGGCTTCCCGCAGGGCCTCACAAGCAACCGAACATAGCTAGTAGCTAGTAGTAACAACTGCAATTTTTGCCAGTAACAAGGGCATTACTACTAGTAACAAGGAGCTACCAGTAGCGATGCACTTGTTACTAGATGTTGCTAGTGCTACTGTACTACGATTGAATTCATCAAAGGTCTCAGGGCCAAGATTTTGTGCCTGCTTCATTCACCGAACTTCGCAATGTCGAGCATGGTCAAAAACGTGTCACAAAGCTCTGTGTGGAAGCCACGGCGAAGCCACCGGCTTGCCACACGTGAAACTCCTGGCCTGGATCTTTGCCACTTGGCACTCAAACACCAAAGACCTTCCGTGTGGCTGCGCGGATGCATCGGGGAAGGGATGTGATGTGCTGGTAGGATTTTTCGAAGGCTTCCCCACTTAGGAGTTGCATTGTTTGGGGTTGATAAATGAATGAGAGCACTTGTGGCGCAGGAGAAACTGTAGAACCCCAAAACGGTCACACAAATACACAAGGAGCCGTTCATCGCCATTCTGACATCACTTCGACGGCACATGCACTTGCTCTTTCGAGGCCAGGGCTTGCTTGCATCATTTGACTTCCTGAGTTGATCGGCTGCGATGTGTCGAGAAGAACGGCTGCAAAACAACCAACCAAGGCCAAGGCCTGCGTAGGACACCTCGCCGTCAGGCAAAACACGAGGGGCTGGCTAAGCAAGGTGTTTAAAGTATATAAATATACATATATTATATATATATATGTGCTATAAAAAAATAAGGACAAAACACACACACACACACGTCATATACTCCCAACGAGTAAAAGGTGTCTGCATTGCTTGAGCTCTGCCGTATGCCCAATTTAAAGCTCCGGTCCGGTTGTGATGGAACATGTTCTTATACCTCCACACCTGTCACCTGACTATCCAACTCTCGAACTAGTAATTATATATATATATATTTGTTTATAATCCTTTTTGCACCGCGTGCACGTTCCTGACTCATCCTGAGATCTGCACAGTATGGAATCTCCACCGTTTGACCATGACCACGGAGAATTACAAAGCTGTAAGCCTCAGACGTGTGAGTCAGCCAGGTAATTATGGGGAATGCGTGCAAATCATGCCAATCGCGGGGCGTCCACACCACTTTGAGGGACATGCTCAATGTGGCAGCTGTAGCAAGGACGCTATTAGGTGGAGGCCATCGCAAGTAGATTGGAGGCCATCGCAAAGAGGTTGGAGGCCATCGCTAGTAGAAACACGAAGCTACTACTGCAATAGGCTAGGATGATATTAGAAATAATAAAAGGACGACTTTGGCCGGGCAGCCGAGACCACAACAGCTTTGGGCACCAGCTGCACCGAGGCGATCTGGACTTTACAATCGCAAAGCGTCACAACCGGATGCTTGCTTCGGCCTGTCTGTTCCAAACATGAGCGAACTGCAACAGCTGATCTTCACTTCACGATTCAGCACAACATGTGAGCTTCCAAACTCCTAGTAAGGCTTGACTGTTAAGGAGATGACCTTTTTAAAACTCAATCATCTGAGAGTGATGCTCACTTCTTCCAGCGCGATATCGCATCCCCATTCCAGGAGCTGCCTGGATCACTCAGTGATCTTATCATTCTTATTATTATTGGTGGAGGAACACAGTGGCGTGATCCAGGGACAAATGCGGCACCCCATGGTAGGCCCACAAGTTTGCGACTCAGCTGAATCGCGGAATGGCATCAAATTTTGTGTGGCCCATCTGCCGCCAAACAGGCGTGGCTCAATTGCAGGCAGGTCACTGTGGAGTCAGGGCTTGAAGCCTCTTCACCGGCCCCATGCCAAAGGTCGTTTGCAAGGTAGTGATCGGCGAAGATTCAGGGTGCCTCAACCGGCAGGTTCATTTACAGTAATTTGTTGTACTGACTGGCATGGAAGCGATGAAGTGTGATTATGTTAGAGGGAATTCTAGTGTGGCCCTTTCAACCGTGACGTACTATCAACAGGTGGTAAACTTCTCTTCGCGTGACCGGCATACTTCAGGATTCAGGGCCATCTATGCGTTCGCAGGTCTGCCACCAGGTGGCAGGCAACACATCGCCGTTGGTTGCTTGGCTAAACTAAACGTTAAGCGGCGGCATGCTCAAACGAGAATAGTGGCTAGGGTGCAAGTGCGGGTGGCGCCCAAAAGGCCAACATTTTCTGCCAAGCTGCTTGCCATCAAGAGTCACATGCCGTAATCCACGCCACAAAAGCTCTAAAAGAACCTGGACTGCGGGTCCAAAACAGTCCACCCGCCTGGGTCATGTAAAAAGAACCGTCAAACACAGCTGAAGCTCCAAATCTTGCCTGAGCTTACCATCCCCTTCATGCTTCACATGTCCAAGGAGCCTCATGAAGCTGTGGATCGGGTGGAGTGTCGCAAAGCAAACGGATGAGCTGGGAGCTGGTACTTTGAAGGCCCTCCTTCCGAAAACGCGATAGCACGCAGCTACATGCATTCGGAAGCTTCAGCTGAACTTCAGCTTGTGTCTCATGACTCAGAATCGGGAGCCTCTCGGAAAAGGCGGGCACAACCGATTGCCTCCTGCCTGGCTGACCGTTCACCCCTGGTGTCCTCAGCCAGTAACATCCTCTCCCATTGGCTGCGGGCTGAAGATGATGACTCCTACAAGTCTGGAATCGAATGGGGTCAGGCACTGCGAGTCATCACTGACATCCTTTCCCAGCAAAAGCTACCCATGCAATGAAACTGATTCGGGTGATGAAGGCAAGCCCCAAGCTACAACCCCAATGTTAAACACAGTAACCATATATACAGTATAACTTTATATATTTGTATTGCTCCGTGCATATACACACATAGATAGACAGATAGACAGATAGATAATAGATAGATTATATAATACACACATATGCGTGCATTGAATATCTCAGCGTGTTGTACATAGACCCCGTTGAGGATCTTTAAAACTTAAAGCGTATTCCCCGTGGCATTGTTCTTTTTTTTGGGGGGTAGGGTCCGTACAAGAAGTTTAAAGAATCATCTCTGCATCTCCTCTAGCAGCAATTGCAGCAGCTCGCCAGCACTGCGTTGGGCTTGAAGGGCCGCAAAGAAAGCATCACCTGAAGGCGGATCCTTCTCTCCTGACAATTGAAGCAACTGATAGGCCCAAAGGCATGGAATGACATGGACAAGTGTGCAGTGCAAATACCGATGAGCATTTCCCGCCAATCAAGCGAGTCCTTCCATTGGCATGCATAAAATCGTTTGGAGCAGCAGCTTCACAACACCTAGGTGAGCTGGTACTGGAGTTGCCAATTGAGACCTTTCATCTGAGATCTGCCTTCAGACTGGAGAATCTCGTCCACTCTCATGGTCGCCTTCTTATCATCATGCTGAAGCAAGTCGCTGCCTCAGAAAGGCGTAATTACTCGAATGGTTCCTTCGCAGTTCTCTGTTCCCAAAAGCTGCGGGAACTTCACTGCACAACTGATCATGTCTGACGCAAACAGCAGCCGCAGCCCACCTGCCATGCAAATTTTGGAGGCCATAGCTGCCGTGTGGATCTGCGAGTCAACAGAGACAAAGACTCGTCGTTCCATGGAGTCAATGAATGCCCCCAACCTTGAGTGTTGCAGATCAAAGCTCCAACACTTGTGGTCTGCAAACCCGCTGCACCCTATTGCCATTGGTTTGTAGGTACTTGTAGGTTGCACTTTTTTCAATTTGCACGCAGAGTGAAATGATGTGAAAGGATGTGAAAGGCTTGTAAGCTACTCAATCAGGGATTATGAGACCATGCTTAAACATGCTTGGGTGACCTGCACCACCCCTCACATCCTTCCATTCCCCGAAGAAAAACAACAAAATCGTCCGTTTCCTTGCCACTTGGATGCCTTGACTTCAACCGCCCGGCAAAGCCATCAGGATCGCCGCTCAGCTCGTCGGAACGAGAAGCGACAGGCGTATCAACGCCCGTCTTTTTCTCTGGGCCTGCCGAGTCCAAAGGGTCAAAGTGGAAATGCCAGGGGCCCTGCTCTCCAAGCATTTACTAAGTATATAATCATGCCAATCCTTGCAGTGGCACTCCCACCTAGAGATTTTGGCACACGGGGCATCTCCTCCAGGGTCTGTAAGCTTTGAGTCATTCTTCCATCGTGTTCATTGTGAATTGCATTAATAGGCCTGCATACCAGTTCAAGGTGCTGGCGCAAGTGGCCATTCACAACCAAAGGATGCAACAAGCAAGCCCGAGATCGGTCCTCCACAAATGTGTGAAAGATGGAATGGCTATTTCTGGACCATGGTCTGAAGAGCAAATCTTGCGGCATTCCTTGTCCATGCATCACCAAATGACTGGCATCGGCAAGGGGGGATGCAGGGCAATGATGAACTGGCAACCTCGCCACATGGTTTTACATGCAGGTCGTCAACACGTGCGTCCTTGGACATTGGATAGTTTTTGGGTGGTTTAGGAGATCCTCCAATGACTTGGTGACCAACATCCACACGAGCCAGCCTGGAAGGCGCTGCCTATGGCTGGGTGAGCTCAGGGATGTTCCCATGAACGAAGCCAGGGACTGCTCGCAAAGGAGCTACAGTAACAGTAAAACTTCTACTTAGTGCGGAATCCCTGACAGTGCTCTCGTAAAACTGAAGAATCAGAATCGCAGGATTGCATGAACTGGCGCGGTTCATTGGAAATGGCTGGCACCAACAAAGGAATTTCTGTGTGGGAATTGGGTCTAGCCTATCATGTCGTGTTGTTTAGAGTCACGTATGCACTCACCATATCATCCTCATCACCAGAACTGAAACTTGTGGATGTACAGTAGGGGTTGAGTGGGAATCCCTGATTTTTTGCAGTCTTTCCATAGGAACACAAAGCCAAACCAACACAAAAGTGAAGCTGCCTCGTCGACATTGATTTTTTCCGTGGGCTTTCCACGAACTCAACGATGGTGCTTTGATTCTTTGATACTCTTTATCATATAACATGTTTTATAAACTTACAAACAAAGTATGTCTGTCCAAATGGATAAATCTTTGGCCTCGGGGATGATATTGCCTGGGCTTGTCTAGACGTGCTTGTGGAGCACTCAACCTGGCAAGGAACATCTAGAGCCCACCGAAATTGCAGGAAGATGCAGGAAGCAAAAGTATGGTGAACGGACTCATGCCAAGTCAAAAGAAAATATCCAGGCAGGAGGAAGCATTCAAACCCTTGGCCCTTGGCATCATAAGGATGCATAATAATAACCAGATGCGGCAAAAGAGTTTGTTAGTTAGGCTTCATATCATTTCCTGCATGTTGCAATTGGCAACCAACGACCCTCTTGCCTTCTGAATCTGTGGTGGTGATGGAGAGGGCGGCTGCCTGCTTTATTCGGAATCTGGGAAATTGACCAGCACTCATGGGGAAGAACTCTTCTAACTCTAGACTCTAGTCGGCATCATGTTTGAAGAGCAAAGCGCTTAGCACATCTTGGCCTTGTTGTTTACAACACTGACCCCTGCCACCTGCCTCCGGCGGATAAGGGGTTCTGGCCTCGGCCGCACAGAAACTGAAAGCTAGATTTCTTCGGTCCCCAGCAGAAGTTGGGCTATCACTGGCTGCCTATCTTGCGACAGCCGATTCGAGAGCAACCAGCCACTCTGAATCTTCGCACAGCTCCCCGTACAATAGTTCAGCTCACCTTCCAGTGAGGATGGCATGCAGCACGAAAGGCAGCTGGTCAAAGCATCAAATGAAAATAGCAGCACGGTTCCGTAATTGTGCAAGGTCACCAAAAAAAGAAGCAAAACATGATAGCCGCAATGCTCCACCAAGCAGTGCAAATTGCCATGTCACACCAAAAAATAGTACTGTAGCTTTATTGTTCCCAGGAGTAAGGCCAGGAGCCCCTAGTGGCGTCCTTGCTCCTACTAGCGATGCTCTTTGTTACTAGTAGCGTTTGGTCCAAACAAGTCTTGAGGCACCAGCCTTGCGGTTCTTGACCTAGTGATCGGCCGAACAAATCTGCGCTTCACCCTGTACACTTGTTCTTACATGTTGGCTTTCCTACCAAGTAGTCAAGTAGCCTTCCGATGCCTTCCTTAGTACATCCATCCTCTTTCCCAAGTATACAGTCGAGAGTCAAAAGTAGGGCGAGGAGAGCTTTTCGAAAGTAGGGCGAGGAGGGCTTGAAGCTGGATTTGGATTCGCAATGATGCGTTTCTTCGAGATGTCTTTCGTCTGACTTGTGCATGCATAATTTATGCCATACGCTGAACATGCACAGCTGAGGAGTCCATACGACCGCAGCTGCAGTCGATTCGCAGGCGTGCGCTCGCCTCAGTAACTCAATACATGCCCACAGAAGAAGCACTTTGGCTGCTCTTATGATGACTTCTCAACCCTGACACTGAAACAAACAAACAAGTGGGCCAAACACTCCTGAGTCCCCTACGGAGGCGCGCGGCAAACACTTCCTTGGCAGCTTCACCTCACGTGGCAATCATTAGGCATGTCGCTTTGACTTTGACGCGCCGATGCCGCGAGATGAAAGGAGGTAGACTGACCAAGCGGCATGTCTATCTTCAGGTTTGACAATTATCACAAATATAAATGGTGTGGCGAGGCTGGCTACACTCCCACCAAGCCTTTGCAAGCAGCATTCCGGAAAATGGATGAACATGTACAAATCATCACTAATCTAATTAAATTACATTTGGCTTGAACGCTGTGAGGTCGGCTGATGCATTGAGTGGTTCCAAATGAGCCAAGCAGGTCTTATAAGCAGGGTGCTCTTCATATTCATGCCCAGTTGCTGGGTGTTGCCGCACGCTTCTCCGGCATTCCTCCCAAAACGCTAGCAATGGCATCCAGCAGATGTGTTCTAAATAACTTTAAGTTCGAGACTGCCAATTGAGGATGCGTAGGGTGCCTGCTATCTCCTACATGTGTGTATATATATATACTGTATATATAGGAGTAAGAACCCCAGGGGGGTAACATACATACCTCGTTTTCGGAGGTTAGTAAGTATCTAGCAGGCAACCCCGGCCTCCCCCACCCCATCTAGGTATGTATGTATGTATGTATGGTCGAAAGGTACATACCTCGAAATCAGGGGTATGCATGTTTCTGGGGAACATACATACCTAGAAAAGGAGAGGTATGTATGTATGTGAAAGGTATGTATGTATGTTTGGGGAAACATACATACCTCGAAAATGATACGTATGTATGTATGTCTGGGGAAACATACATACGTAGAAACTACAGGTATGTATGTATGTCAAAGGTATGTCTGTGTGTCTGGGGAAACATACATACCTACAAACTATAGGTATGTATGTATCTCTGGGGAAACATACATACGTAGAAATTTATAGGTATGTATGTATGTCTGCGGAAACATACATACCTAGAAACTATAGGTATGTATGTATGATAAAGATATATATGTGTGTGCGGGGAAACATACATACCTAGAAAATTAGAGGTATGTATGTATGTCTGGGGAAACATACATACTCAGAAAATCATGTCCGGGGAAACATACATACCTGGTAGGTATGTCTGGGGAAGCATACATACCTGGAAAAGGAGAGGTGTGTATGTATGCCTCGGGAAACATACAGACCTAGAAAAGTATAGGGGAATGTCCGGTATGTATGCATGTCTGGGGAAACATACATACCTTGACAAGAAGGGGTATGTATGTATGTATGTCTGTTTGGGGAAAGAGACATACCTAGAAAAGAAGCGGTATGTATGTATGTATGCATGGTCCAAACGTACATACCTCAAAAGCAGGGGTATGTATGTTTGTCGGAGACATAGAAGAGTCGTACATAGCCATCATGTATGTATGTCCGGGGAAACATACATACCCTGTATGTATGTATGTATGTATGTAGGTATGTATGTATGTATGTATGTATGTATGTCCGGGGAAACATACATACCGAGGAAATTACAGGTATGTATGGTATGTATGTATATCTGGATACATGTGCAACACAGACGTGTATGTGGCCAAAGAGTGCAGGTAGCAGCTGCAACACTGGGGCCTCGGCAGCAAGGGCAACGGAGAGCGCAGAAGGTCTGGACCTAAGTGGACGTAATGGACCAGGACGCAGGCGGCAGGTACAGTGCCGTCTGGACATGGAGTCGAAGACATAGCACGACTTGAGACGCAGAAGCGGCGCACACCTTTTTCTGCGCGTCGGCCAAAAAGTGGGGAAGCACCCACGAGCAACTAGAGGTCCAAAGCGTGGCGCCGACCGAAGCACGTACCGCAGCTATATAAATTGGAACCAGACAGCTGAGCTGCAGGCACTGCTAGTCTGCGGGCCCCAGGTGCCGGAATCCAATGACACCCTGTGCGGACCGAGTCTTGCACAGCTGCATCCACACGATGCACGGTGTTGGTGTCTGGGTTGACAAGCACCAAGGCACCGGCTAGGAAGTCTCTGCTCACGCGCCTCGGTGGCAGGTGGATTGGTGGATCTGCTTGTCCCACATCAACTGGAGCACGGTCTGGTGGTGGGACTTGGCATGTTTGACGGGGCTTTGCTCGCTTCTGGGCGGGGCGTGCTGGTGGGGTACATGCCGTGGAGGCGGATGCCGCACAAGCGTCAACGTGGGCACCTGGGTCCAGCGACGCGCCAGAGGCCTGTGCTATTTGGTACCTCTCCCAAGGTACATCGGGGCACTGCCTCTCATTGTGCTCGTGGCTATAAATCAGAAGTTGCAGCTCTTGATGCACCGGGTGCGCTGTGGCCAAAGAGGCTTGCCAGCGCGCCGCAATGTGAAATCTGCTCTGCAACTTCTGTGTCGACTCCACGCAAAGCATCATGCGCCTCAGGCAGGTAAGGACTTAGAGGGTGTAGGACCTGCATGCGGACATGGAAGTAGGACCTCTAGGGTGCAGCAGCAACACTTGGTAAGGTTCCTACATGACAGTGACTCAGCACCTACTATATGCTGTAGCAGTAGCGCTTGGAGCCAACGCATCGAAGCTATCACTACTGGGGCGCGTACGGATTGACGGAAGGCTCGTACCAAGGTGACTGTGGATTCCTGCAGCCTTTGTGGGTCTTGAAGTGCATCTTATCCACCGCCCACGTCAAAGCATCCAATGCTTGCCATCTTGAAGCCTCGGGTTTGGACCGCCTCAAAGAAAGCTGTGTGCAGATGTGCCGGCGGATGCCACAAGCAAAATCGTAGATGACCCAAGCAGTGCGAGGCAACATTTGCAAGATGTCATCCAGAAATGAAACCATCTGTCCCTGCGACTCTGTCGCGTACATGGGCTGAATGGCGACCACGCGCATGCACGGCGAGACAGCAGCGAGA